GTTTATTCTCTTTCCTTTTTGTAACCTCTTGGTTTGGAAAGTATTTCGTAAATGTATTTCACGTATATGCTACGTGTGTGTGTGTAAGCTGCACATACTTAGACAAAATTAACTTGTTATTGTTAATTGTAAGCAAACTTAACAGGACTAGACACCAAAACAGAAAGTTTTGTAATTTTTTCTTTCCCTCTCAGACGCTAATGTTAAGTGTATTATTTTTTCGTGTTCCACCGTCTTTCTCGTGACGTCAGTTTCTCTGAATCCGAACGCCGAATATTTCTCTTCCGTGTAAACAAAGTTTCCGAACGCTGAAATTTGGTTTTAATGTGAGACGCAATTAAAAATTTCGCATTACAGCGAACTTTTGGGGCACGCGGTAGCGTAGCTGATTGAAGCACTATGCTACAAGTCGAAAGGTCGCGGGTTCAATTCAAATGTGGTCATTGGATTTTTTAATTGACCTACTCCTTCCAGCTGCACTATGGCCCTGAGGTCGACTCAGCCTCTAACAGAAATGAGTACCAGGAAGATTCCTGGGGGTAAAGGGCCGCCGGCGCGTAAGGCTGACCTCACTGCCATCTGTGGGCAGATTGTTTAGAAAATGTGGGAGCCTCGACGTCTCACAACTCTACGGGTCTCCACGGCCTGTTTCAGGGATAGCTTTACTTTTTAACAGCGAACTTTAAGCGCACTGAATATAGCTCAGCAAACTTAGTGCGTAATGAGGCGCTTCGTAATTCTTATGCACCGACTTCTGTTCGGGTGACGAGATGGGGCGGTACCCGGTCCGAATCCCTGCCAAGACAGACTGTCCTTATCGTGCATTTCCTCAGTCTCTACATACATATGGCGGGAAAGCACATAAATCGCTCGCTAATCCGGTTACAGTTAATCCGGATCGAAACATGAACAAATCTGACCTTACGTTAAATGACACATGGGATTAGGAGCAAGAGAACTTTCAGACTGTGCTGAGGGCACAGAAACTTACACCACTGGAGAAAATACCCAAGATTGGTTTGAGCTGGCTGAAGGAGATCTTGGATTTCAGTTTCTTCTCTTTTTATAATTTTCAAATAATACCTCTACAGCGATATTTCATATTCATTTTCATCGGCACTACTTATATCATAAAATTTCAATTTTTCTCTTTTTGTCTATTACGGCTATCTTGCTCCATTAATCCAGATGATCCTCCCCAATACTAATCCGTATTAGCGAGGGTTTACTCTACCTACAAGTGAGTCAACCGCCTCCTTCCAAATCCATTCCAATCAGTCACTAATCGTAACATTCCTCTCTGTATCCAGCAGGCGTACTCAGCTACTGGGGGACTCGTTAAGTAAGCCTTAAATAGGTTAGACAGAAAAATATTGTCATGGATCCGACGAGGTCTGGAACGGAGCATGACTGTGCTGGCGAGGACCAGCAGTAATTTTCACGAACCCGTGTATTCTAACTTAAAAATTTCAGAGGAACATATGGCCTCCATGTGATCGCTCATACCCACGTACCAGTCTACACGATGTCACAACATATGAGACCGCATTGAAGGTCTTCACCGGTGTAGAGATTTGGAACGTTACGGCATACAGAGACTGTTCCTGATTCTTACAAACGCGATAAGAGGTACACCGTCTTGCTGAGGCAGACACGCAGTTTCGTGGGGGGATTTGAACTTCGAACCGTTAGATCAGCTCCTCTAACCTTTTTCGGTCAACGTACCCCTTGGTCTCAGGGCGAAACTACACGAAACCCCTCCTCAGTGGTGACTCGGTGGTCGTGTAATACGAGGGAGTCAGTAAATAGGTCACAAATGGAACTAAACCGTAAAACATGTGATATTCGAACCTCCACCCACATTGATATACTTGTCCCATCGCTTTACCAGTGCTTCGAAACCCGCAGCAGAGAAGTTGTCTCAGCCATTTCTGCACCTCCGTTTCAACCTCATCACCGAAACGTCTGCCAACCAGCTGTCAACCGCTTTACGTGACAAACACTTCCCACCGTAAACATGAAACATTTCTTCATGAGTATCTTTGCACTGAATCCATTTGCCCACTGAAAAACGCACAACCGAACTCTGCTCTTCGGTAGTTACCCCTCAGCACGGTCGCCATATTGACTTCTGAAACTGGCCTCTGATGAACATGCGCATCTGCTACCTACACTGTCATGAAGTTGGACTGTGCTGCTACCTAGTGATAAAGGCAGAAAACCTATTACGTCTATTACAGCTGTTTTACTTCCATTTGTGGTCTACTTACTGGCTCCCTCGTATAACCTGGGTTATTCATTCAGAACGGGCTGTACTCAGTCCACGCAGAAAGAGCTCAGAAATCTGCGCCCTGTCGACCTGTCCCTGACAAACGGTCTGTCCTCTATATCTCGTGCCTCCTCATGAGACACTTCAAGTACCCCCGTTCCCGAACCGTTGCTTTACATCGGCCCTGCAAATTATCCACACGCTTACTTAATTAAACACCTCGCCCTGAAGACGTATGGGGAAGTGTAAGTATAGCTGCATCATTCTCAACCTCGGAACTAGTTATGGAGGTAAGTCACCTTCACGCCCCGACCACCTTACCCCGCTGTACTCACTGGACAGGAGACTGGGTGGGTCCCAGAGCCAGTCTGGACGTTATGGAGGTGAGAAACATTTCTTGCCTCTGCCGGTAGTCGAATTTAGATTCCTCGGTAGTACAGCCTGCAGCCTATCGTACCGTCTGAGCTACCCCGGCGGCACGTAAAGTGTTTTGAATAGCAGAAATTACAAGGATTTTGGGCTTTATCCATCGTCAGGTGTTCTAAAACGCTGAAGAACACTGCGTTTCGGAAACTGGATCTGTTTGTCCTCAGGTGATGGGAAGACACCTCAGTTGGGTCCCTTAGGCAGAGTTAACCTCAATCCCATGTCAGTGTAACTACAGGTATATAAATAACTGAGACCAGGCTTTGTCAGTGGGAGATAACAGGAAATATGTAATTAAAAACTGTGATAGAGCATGCATAGACATAAAACTACAATAGAAAAGGCGGTGGAAAATTTACGCAACAACCAAGTCCATGAAAGCTGTGCCGATGTTTAACATTAAATTAGCACTGTAAGCCTGAATTTCTTGGGCCATTTTAACCCGTGTGTCAGATCTGTCAACTGAACATCACTACCTGTGCTAAGCAAGCAGCATACACGCCCCTTCTCGTCCATGTAACCCGAATGTACAGTCACTTATCCGGGTAACGCGACAAGAAATTATGAGTTCCGGATTAGACGATGCTGTTTACTGGAGAACTACTCGTTTACAGTCACTCTGAAATAGCGTCTTCCAGACGGTGCGACCTGACTAGTCCGTCGTCTCTCGCGTTTCGTCTTCCACTTCCACTGCTGTTCTCGGTGGAGTGTCTTTGCTGTTTGCCTTCGGCTCTGCATGTCTTCACTGATCTCTCTGATCTGACCTGTTCTCAATTCTCCTTTGGTCTGAGCCCCGCTATGGTCTTCTCTCATCTTTCATGTTTTCTCTTCGGATATTATCTGATCTGTCGCAATCTACCCTCTTTAAGTACCGATGAGAGAACATATTGTCGAAGGTTTGTTTCACGTGTTAGATACAATATTCATTGCCTAGGAATTGCTAGCTGTTGACTAGCAATTGACGCTGGTTGTCAGTGCAATTTCTTGGTAATGCGTTACGTAGAAAGTGACACTTCTCTATGCAGTGGGTTACGCTGTTCACAAGAGTCTACCACTATGTCCTGTCCTGAGCCAGATGAATCCTATGCCGTTTATCAGTTTTCGCATTATCCTTGCATCTACTTTTTCCGACTACTTGTTCATGTTTTTTAATAATACTTACGTATGGATCTCTATTTGTCCTACTCATTCTATATGTTCTGCCCATCTTATACTCCTTGATTTGATTACTTTAACGGAAAATGTGGGCTCTTATGAAGGCGGTAATTAATTCTGAGGCTGTACACAAGAGGAAAGAGTGTGTGGCACACAGTCAGCTTCTTACGTCTGACTCTGTTACGTACGGTTACTTAATAACACGGTTGTTAGATTGCCAACAGAGGGAACAGGAGTTGTCTGCAGTTCAGCTGCCATTGTCAGTACAACTGCCATAAGGCATCAATACTGGGTCTGATACAAATATTTTGCCCTGGTTTCCTGCCTGCCAGCCAGAAGATGCGATCATTGTTATTCAGTTATTTGCGTCATATGGTATCCTAAAATTCAGTAAATTAACATCTAAAGGTCTACATAGTTCGTACCTCAAAGAAAACACTGAGTTCATGGAAGTAATCGCTGTTTACTGAGCGAATCATACTAAACACGTAAATATACTGTTGGCAAAAACCGAAATTGTTAACACTTTAAACACCGATTCACTAAATGCACCTGATCCTCGCCAGCAAGTCTCACGACCATATTTTGATGTCTGATCGCTCTTTCTTCTAAACAATATATACAAATCCACTAAGTACCTCACAGGAAATACATTACGTCTCCGCTACAAAGCCGAACCGGTTAATGCTGTTTAGGGAAACAGTCGCTGTTTACTGTGAGAACCATACGGAACACACAGATACACTGTGTGCAGAATATATAGCAATTCAGTCCGTACCTCACAGGAAACGCATTACGTCTCCATAACAAAGACCAACCGGTTAATGCTGTTTAGGGAAACAGTCGCTGTTTATTGTGAGAACCATACGGAACACACAGATACACTGTGTGGGCAGAATATATAGCAATTCAGTCCGTACCTCACAGGAAACACACTCCGTCTCCATAACAAAGCCCAACCGGTTAATGCTGTTTAGGGAAACAGTCGCTGTTTACTGTGGTACACTATGTGAGGCAGGATGTAGAGTTCTGGCATATTAAAGCTAGTGACACACATAGTAACCGCTTTGCTCGAAAGGGTTAAACAGGCGGTACATATAGTAACCAGCGTCCATTAAAAGGTTAGAGCATGAGTAACTTGAGTACTCACTTCGTAGCGATGGGTACCAGCGTCCAGTCATAGCCTTCCAGAACCTTTGTAACGGCCTCGTTTATCTCCGTCTTATCTGCGTCGCTAGATGTCCCGATTAAAGACGCCCTTTCGCCGCTGATTGCCGCCGCTGCTGCAGCCGCGACGCTTGCTGCGGTGCTGGCCGTTATAGTGACGACTTGTCGCGAGTTGGGGGCGGCGTCGGAGCAGGGACTTGCCCTCAACAAGTGTTGCTGCGCTGACAACATCTTGACGTAACACTGACAGCACCTATATACGCGTGTTCATTGCTGTGCAATCCACGAAGGAATTTTGCGAATAGGAATGAAATTCACTGTAATTTTGATACTTAAAACCGTGTATATCCCTATATTAACACTTCAGTTTAACCATAACTTGGTAACTCACAACACTTACGTCACTTCACAATATTGGATCACTTGAGTAACATGCAGCGCGGACTCTTTTTAAGATAATATGGACGAACTTGGTTTTGTTTTGAGCTTGTAGAATGTATTACACAGAAGAGTTCTTTTGCCCGTTTCTTGATCCGGTTTTGTAACGAACTTAATTCGTTTAAGGTCACTTCTTACAATGTCAATTAACGTTTATCTCAAACACGCAACATTCACATTAAAAATAAGGCTCAAACATGAATATCACTTAACTTTAAAAAGTTGTTATTTTTCATAAACCAAATAAAATTAGTCTAAAAATGTTTTTATACAGACCAACTCGTTTTGTTGACGAGATGAACAGGAGTGGGGGTCCGTATCGTCGTGTTCAAGACGCGTGCCTTTTGCTTTTTCTTCTTATATATATGGATAATACACTTCTTTGAATGAAAACGCCTTTATAATTTTTTTATCTGTTCTATAACTCGTAGTATCTATATATATATATATATAAATATAAAACAAGCGAGAAGCGACCTTTCTTAAACAACTTCCAGAATATGAATGAATCCTTGTTTAGCTCAGGGGGCAACGTTTATACAAAACGCGGGGCAAATGCTCGAGAGGGGGGGTGCTCAACTTATCACAGTGGTTTACAGCTCATAGTCCTTCGAGAGAGAGAGAGAGAGAGAGAGAGATAGAAAAAACCAAATCTCAGTTCCAGATTTAGTAAGCGGCGGCCCCGAGGGGGGAGTTGGGGGGGGGCGAGAAAACGAATTGACAAGATTGTAAAAAGAAAACTGTGGGGCGTTCCCTGTTTGTAAGTGGGGGAAGAAGAATAGTGGGTGCGTTTTCCATGGCAACGGCTGTCCAATCACCTTACGGTATGCTGAGAGGTGGAACCAATGGGAATCGTTGGATGTTCCTCCTGTGTGGAACGGCGGCCTGTGATTGGTCGAGGTGATTTTGACAGATTGAAGATGTGAATCCTCCCTTCTACTGGGTCAGTTTGTTATATCTGTCGTGGACGTCTGGAAACAGTGGCGACAAAGCGGTGGAGAGTGGAAACTAAAGTTCCTGCAGTTATCAAGAGAGTGCAGTGGCGTTCGCACCTCGACTCAGACTATGCAGCTTCGAATGCGGTTGTGGTCAAATTGACACCAGTCTGTTAGAACCTGCTTACGCTGTTTCCTCGCTCGCGGATTTTCTTCTTTTTTCTTCTACCCTGAAGATGGAGGCGATACGTTCCTCCGAAACGTCTGTTAACTCAACATCTACACGGCGCCACATCCCAGAAGACTACTTTCTTCATAGTGACCGCCGTGAAAATCTCAAATCTTACAAATTGATATACTGTTCCCACATTTGCCTGGGAAGGATTGAGAAATACCACGAAAGACCTCGGTCAACATACCCGGTGTTGCGGCCAAGATTCGAACAGAGCATCTCGCGAATGTATTCGGGTTAAAAGCCTCACTGCTGTACGAAACTGCTCGGTTTCTTCGAAACTGAGGTTCATTAAAGCTATTTTGGTTTTATTTGACGATGTTTAAACTTTCTGAAACAGTGTGTATCAGACAATGATAAGAGAAGTTGTGAACTGAGGTAGACATAGCCAAATTTGAGGTTATGTGTCACGTGTTTGTCTGAAGGAACGGAGGACAGCTACAAAAGATCTGTTAGGAGAACCCGTCTCTGTGCTAAGTTATAAAGCCATGTCCTTATGGATACGAGACACGCGCCTTGCCCACTCATTTTTTTTTCAAGTTCATTTAAACGCAGGATATGCCAATGTGTTCTGTCTTAGGTAGGCCGCACACCGGCATGCGTCAAGGTATGTAACAGTCAAGACACGATGTCTGCGACATGACGCAAAGAAAGAAGCAGAGTTGAAACGAATGAGATTATGAAAACCGCCGCACACCGGTCTGAGTCATGATGCCGTCGAGTCACGAAGGAAGCAGGACTCGTCATGTTCCTTTTCTGTGCGTCAAGACTCAGACATCAGTACTCAAGCAACAGCACCAGTGCACGTTATCGACATGACGTCATGTCATCAACTGGAGAAGATGTTATAAGACGCAGACACGTGCTACTTAGGTGTGCTGACTCGTGTCTGAATCACGAATGAAGCAAGACTGCGTCTCTTGTCTCATGTCTGGATGCTTGTCTTGACGCAGTTGGTGTACGGCCGCCCTTAGTGTTTAGAGATTACGTAGCCGGCTAGATTAGGTTATGTTTACTCCGTTTGGATAGTGTGATCACCCCTGCGCACTGCCCACAGTGTTGCCAGTTACGTGTGTGAGTCAAACATTGCCTCTTATTCAGGGGTAAAGTAAGTAAAGCTACCCCTGTAACAGGCCATGGTGGCCCATAGGGTTGTGAGACGTCGAGGCTCCCACATTATCTCTAGACAATCGGCTCGCTGCGGCCCGGGTTCGATCCCGGGTCTGGTCAAGTGGGATTTGTGGTGGACAAAGTGGCGGTGGGGCAGGTTTTCTCCGAGTACTTCGGTTTCCCCCGCCAATCTCAATTCCACCAATTGCTCCACAATCACCCTCAGCTATCATCTGGGGAGGGTACAAGAGGCCAGAAGTGGACGCAGTACAAGGGACTTAGTCGCACCCCACTAGCAATAAAAAAATAGAAAATCGGCTCACAGACGGCGTTGAGGTTGTCAACCTTACGCGCCTGCCGCCCTTTACCCACAGGAAGATTCCTGGTACTCATTTCTGTTAGCGGCTGAGTCGATCCCAGGGTTCAGAGGGCGGCTGGAAGGATTAGGTAAATTGAAGAAAATCCAGTGACCTCATTGGGACTTGAACTCGCGACCTTCCGGCTTGTAGCATAGTGCCTCAACCAACTGCGCTACCGCAAGGTAAGCATATAAACTACAAGTGCAGGAACAAGAGGCGCTTCTCTTCGCAACGTCCAGACCGGCTCTGAGGACCACCCAGCCTCATATCGAATGCGTACCGGGGTTAAAGAGACTGGGGCGTGAAGGTGACCACTCACATCCATCTAGTGCCGCGGTCAAAAATGGTAGTTATACCTCCACTCCCCTATACGTCTTCATGGCGTAGAGCGTAATTAATTGAGGCCCTGGAACTTCATTTTTTAAATGAACGTTGTATTTCGACATAAACTGACCGATGTTTCGGAGAAAATATTGCCTCCATCTTCATTTCTGAAGAGTAAGCCCGCCAGCATTTTATGGAACCCGGAGGTTCATTACCCTTTTCACAAGAGCCCTCCACTGGTGCCAATCCTGAGCCAGATATATCCAATCCATCCCATCCCATCCTATCTCTCTAAGTTCCATTTTAATATTATTCGCCCACCTACGCCTTGGTCGTCCCAGTGGTCTCTTCCTTCTGGCTTTCCCACCAATATCTTATGTATTCCTCTTCTACCCCATTCGTACTACACGCCTTGCCCACCTCATCCCCCTTGACTTGATCATTCTAATTATACTTGGAGAAGAGTACAAGTTATGAAGCTCCTCATTGTGCAGTTTTCTCCAACCTCCTGTCACTTCATCCGTCTTCGGTCCAAATATTCTCCTCAGCACCCTGTTCTCAAACACCGTCAGTCTATGTTCCTTCCTTAATGTCAGAGACCAAGTTTCACACCCATAAAGAACCTCAGGCAAAATTATGGTTTTGTATATTCTAATTTTTTTGTTTTTAGGGCAGCAGACGAGAAGACAAAAGGTTCTGGACTGAACGGTAGCAAGCATTACCCGAGTTCAATCTCCTCTTAATTTCCTCCTGAATCAAGTTTTGATTTGTTATCGTTGTTCCCAAATATCTGAATTGTGCCACATTTTCAGAACATCTGTCTCCTATCTTTATGTCATGATTTTGCCCTGCATTTTGGCGACGAGACAACCCACGTCCTATACTAGGACTGTTTAATAGTAAGAAATCTTGCATTGTTTAATATTGTTTGAATGCATGCAGTGTTCGGCTTGCAAAGGAGAGCTCGTGTAGTTCGCATCAATAACGGTAGGTGGCAGGCGATTATACTGTCTTCTAAATTTTGTTCATAGATGGCGCTGAATTAGCAGCGATTTGTGTGCGGAGGGGGTCAAATTATCCAACTTAGTTTGTGGGGGGGGGGCAGTAGCACCTCACCCTGGAATTTCGGAACAATATCGTAAAAGAATAAAATATATTAATGCCAGAAATCAAAATTATCTAAGGAAGTGTATTACTGAGTCCTGAAGGCCCTAGTCACCAGTGTAACTAGAGTCTAGTGTAAGTAATAAAAACCAGTTTCAGTCTCACAATATAATTTTTTTTTTTCAATTCGCATAATGGGGGGTGGAGTCCAACTGGGTCCAATCGGCACAGCGGCCACTGATTGGCCTATTGTACCTGCCCCGGGTGACTATGACGATGGAGAATTTGGTGGATGTATAATTCTATGCTAAGTGTGCGGTTCCTATATTACGACATGTTTCGGCAACAATTTTTGACCATTTTAAGGTAAAAAGATGAAGTCCCTGTGCTTAACTAATTAAGCACTACGCCATGAGGCGTATTTTTTTTATTGCTAGTGGGGTGGGACTAAGTCCCTTGTACTGCGGCCACTTCTGGCCTATTGTACCAGCCCCAGATGATAGGTGAGGGTGATTGTGGAGCAATTGGTGGAATGAAGATTGGCAGGGGAAACCGAAGTACTCGGAGAAAACCTGCCCTAGCGCCACTTTGTCCATCACAATTCCACTTGACCAGACCCAGGATCGAACCCGGGAAGCCGGCGACTAGCCGCTTGAGCTGTGGCGCGATGAATACGTATGGGGGAGTGGAGGTGTAGATCAACGTTTTTGACTTCGGCACCAGCTGGAGTTGAGTGATGAGCTAGACGCTGAGGCCGCTTTATCCCCGGTATCCACTGGATAGGAGGCTGTGTTGGCCCCAGAGCCGGTGTGGACTACATGGAGAAGTGAAAATTCTTGCCCCCACCGGGAATCGAACTCTGACCCCTCGGTCGTCCAGCCAGTAGTCAGTCTCTATACCGACTGAGCTATCCTGGCTTCGTACTGCGAATAGCACAGCCTGGGGACACTGGGGCAAAGGTTCATATAATTGAAAGTATTTACGTCTGTAACTATACTAAACATACGCTGTAAACAACATGGCCTCCCTGCGGTAGTGAACACTGACCAATGGAAGGGGAGTAGCAGAGAGAGTTGAGAGTGTTTGTGTAAATACTACCTGATGATGGCCAAAGATAGCGACCGAAACATGTAGTAATGTAGAAACTGTTTACTTTTCCTAAAATTATATATATATATATATATANCAGCCGCACAACGGTCCTGGGGTCGACTCAGCCTCTAACAGAAATGAGTCCCATGAATCTTCCTGGAGGTAAAGCGCGGCCGGCGAGTAAGGCTGACAGACTCACCACCATATGTGAGCCGATTGTCTAAAAAATATGGGAGCCTCGACGTCTCATAACCCTATGGACCTTGACGGCCTGTTACAGGGATGCCTTTACTTTTACTTTCCCTTTTGCAAACGCTTTCGACTGC